TATGGATTGGGGCAGATGGATAAAGGAGAGTCCTGGAGCCCTCAGGGGCTTTTTCAGGCTTTAATGCTCTTTTTATGCGAACTGTTGTGGGAGGAACTCACAGGCTGGTAAGGAGGGGAGGCCAGGAGGCCAGAGGGCTGGCAGGCCTCCCAGTGCCTGGCAAATCTTTACTCTCTCAATTTGAGCTCTGTCTGGCATCTCTTATGGTATCTTCTTCTCACAGCACACCCCATCTCTGCATGATGCTGCCTTACATCCCTGACCTCTTAGGTTCAGGAGTGCACTTATGCACACCCTCGCCACATTCCCAGTGATTACCCTAAGGCACTGGTGCCCCTAGCCCATGTTCCCAACATCTCCTGCATCAGCACAATCAAGGCCTCAGGTAATGGTCACAGAGACCAATGCATACAAGCCTGACCAGTCTTTATTTACCCAACAACCACACAGTAGGGCTGATTTTGGACAGGCACACAATTCAGGTCCATGCATGACATGTAGAAAATGCCCATTCCAAAAGCTTCAGTTCTAAAGTTCAAATTCAACACAATCTGTCTACACAACATGCACAATCCGTCGACACAACATGATCCACTAGGCATCCTCTCCATCACTTAGAATTTGACCTGCATGGATGACTGAAATAGGAACACTGCATCCCCTAACCCCCAACGTTGCTTAAGTCCACTCATTAGGCAGGGGCCAACTAAACAAACAGTAATTAGAAGCACTCCAGACTACCTCTTAAATCTGCTGCTAAATTATGTTTTTCCTGTGCCAAAGCCGATATACATGCAGTGTGTCCACAGCATCATGAAACCCCAGTAAAAAATGTTTACATTAATAAGAGTGCAAGTCACCTCTGGTTTCCACGTGGATTCTGCGGGGAAGCAAGAGCTACTCTGGCAGAGATGTTCATTCATTCCTGGTATTTCTCACATCTAGGTAAATAAAGCACTGCCCACATGTGGTTAGAAATCCCAGGTGGGGAAAACTCTCCGAGGTTCTAGAAATAAAGAACACCTCTGACAAACACCCTCATTTCAGGCTCATTTTAGGAAATGAGGCTGATTCTTTAGCAAGAACATCTGCACCAGGGCTCTGCTGATAAAATGATTCCAGGTGATGTCTGTGGATCAGAATCTGGGCCTGGGTAGGGGCTGCTGGGATGAGGCCCAGGGACTGGGCCCTGCACTTCATCTCAGAGCCTCTGCTGTTACTCTGGAAGGTTTGCAAATCCAGTGCAGGGTGGGTTGTAAATCTTGATTAGTGGTGAGATTGCTCACATTCCATTAGGAAGCTGGCCCCCAACCAAGGCTGGAAGCAGCCAGCAGGAGTTCAAGTGTCTTTGTGGGCAGAGAAACAGCCATTCTTACAAGAAAAACTGTTTCACTTAACTAAAAATAGTGTGTGCAAGTGAATAACTCAGATAGCCCTTTCCTGCTAGGATGGATGGCCCTCGCTGGAAGCCCTGCCCTCTCATCATGTGGTCAGGCACTGGAGAGGAAGGAAGACTGAACCCCCTCCCACGGCTCGAGTAATGACCAATAAATGGGAAGGCAAAAAACAAAGACTTTCTTCACCAAAATTAAGGGCCAGTTTATTTTTTTAGATGATCCATCCCTACCCTTTTCAGCATGGGTTTTTAAACGAATCCCAAGTCATGTTTGTAATGGGGTTGGAGGATGGGAAAGCTGGAGATCTCCTAGCGGTCTATCAATAGAAGAGCAATGAAATGAAAATCCCGTACAGACACTGGAACATGAGACAGCAATTTTAAAGGCCAGTGGAAGACTGTGCAGATACAAAGATCTATATTAATTCTTGGACTCCGTAAACACTATGTTTAAGAAAATTTCCTTAGCATAGGAGGTTAGAAAAAAATTTTTCATTGTATAACCTTCAATATAGTTTAATGGTCTTTATATGTACCTATTTTTCTCTTACCCCTTCATAATAGTAGGCATTAAGGGGGTAGAATAGTCTCTCTCTCTCTCTCACACACACACACACACACAACTTAAAAAAAGTGAATGTTACTTTAATTAGACATTAGGGGCTAAACTAAAAATTCTTAGGTTGAAGCCCTAACCCATGTGTGCCTGAGAATACAGCTGTATTTGAGATGGGCATTGAAAGAGGTGATCTGGTGAAAAGGAAGCATCGTTGTGAGCCCTAATACCTACCTACTTCCCACTCCCTCTGTCACTGAGATCCTCACAGAGGTGGGGACAAGAACACACACACAGGACAGCACTGGGGCAGAAGGAAAGCAGCCTCTGCAAGCCCAGGGGTGGGGCCTTGAGGGCATCACACAGACCAGCACATTGACCTTGCATGTGTCACACCAGAACTATGAGAAAATAGATTTCTGTTGTTTCAGTGACCCAGGGTTCTGTTATGGAAGCCACATCTTGGTGAGTGAAAA